AATAATTAATATTTTCTAAAAAGCTTTAATTTTAATAATTTAGATAATAATTAGGTTTTAAATTAGCCCCCTAACTTTAAAAATTATCAATTTAGGTCCTTAAACTTTTAGTCTCTTAGAGCCAGGTATTTTAGTTCTTTGACCTTCTTAGTCCCTCGAACTTCGATTAATATTTTAATTTTGGCATAATTAAATAGGTTAAATAGATCCTCCACTTTTAGATAGATTTTAATATAGTCCCCCTAATTTAGGGAATAATCCGATTCGACCATCATGTAAATGCTCAATACCACCTCGGTTATTCAATAATCGGTTTAAAAATCAAATAGCGTTAATATTAGAACCTACACTTCTAGGTTTGAGCTTTTAGGTCCTTTAACTTTCATAATTTGACACTTAAAGCTAAAAAAAAGTCTTAATTTACTTTTAGTTTAATTATGATAAATAAAATTTGTTTGATCACATTTTATTTTTAACCCTAAGGCAATGTTCACTTATTAGGGAATTCATAGTATATCTCCCGCAATCATGCTTAGGGGGTGACTACTAGTGATTCCCAAAATAAGTCAACATCCTTTTGAAAACCGCATCATGATTTTCTAAAAACGAGGTAATATTCGGTTATTAGCAAAATAGTTGATCTCCCGCATTTTACGCTTGGGAGCAAATGTTATCGGTCTCAATAAACGCATATCATTTTCAGCTTTGCATCTATAATAATTTCAAATTAAATAAATATCGAACTCAAAATTTTCAATTTCAATCATAGGGTAATCAACTAGGTACCAATTTTTGGGCGTTTGTGGGGGTGATAATCCTTCCCCACACGTAACTAACTCCCGAACTCGATTTCTAGATTTTTGTAGACCTTAAAACTCAGTATTTTGATAAAAAAAATTATTAAAATCAGCCAGTTTTTACGGTGTCCCAATCGCACCTTAAATGATTGGTGGCGACTCCTCATATTTTGAAATTCTTTTCAAAAGAGAAAACCCCCGAGTCGATATCGGTATTTCCCTGACTGGACAAAAAATGGTGTCGACAGATAGCATGCATAAACAAATGAATATTTCAAGACTTCTAAAGTAAAGGGGTTCAAAAATAGTCAAATTCATCCTTCATGAAGAGACAATGAAGTGAATCATCATTTTTTATCTTCGTGGAGAGATAGTGAAGCAAGTCAACAACTTTCTCAAATTCATCTTTCACAAAAATACAATGGATTGAATCACCATCTTTCCAGTTTTGATCTCCACGAAGAGACGATTGAGCAAGTCATCAACCTTTCTAGATTCATCATTCAAGAAAAACATAGTGGAAATAATCACCATATTTCCAAATTTAATCTCTATGAAAAGATGATGGAGCAAATCATCAGTTTTCCAGATTTGATCCTAATTTGATCTCCACGAAGACTTGGTGAAGTCAGGTTATCAAGGTTTTCGAATCTGATCTCCACAATGACATGGTGGAGAAAATCGTCTAAGTTCTCACACTTGATCTCCACAAAGAGATGGTGGAGTAGATCATCAAGGTTTCTAGATTTAATCCTCACGAAGAGATGACGAAGGAAATCATCAAAACAAAAAATTAGATTTGGCTTTCAAAAAGAGACGAGGAAGTAAATCAACGAAATTTATAGATTTGATCTTCACAAAGAGATGATGAAACATATCAACCATTTTTTTTTAAATTTGACCTTCGTGAAAAGATGAGAAGGAAAATCAATCAACTTTTTCATATTTGACCTTCACAAAGAGATGAGGAAGTAAATCAAACAAGTTTTTTATATTTGACATTTAAAAAGAGATGAGGAAACAAATCAACCAAATTTTTTTTAAGATTTGACATTCACGAAGAGATGAGAAAGTAGATCAACCAACTTTTTTAGATTTGTTCTTCACGAAGAGAAGAGGAAGCAAATCAACCAATTTTTTTAGATTCAACCTTCATGAAATGATGAGGAAGTAAATCAACTAAGTTATGTTTCATATTTGACCTTCACGAAGAGATGAAGAAGTAAATCAAATAAGTTTTTTAGATTTGACCTTCACAAAGAGATGTGAAAGTAGATCATCCAAGTTTTTTTTAAGATTTGACCTTCACTAAGAGATGAGAAAGCAGATCAACCAAATTTTTTTAAGATTTGACCTTCACTAAGAGATGAGAAAGTAGATCAACCAAGTTTTTCAAATTTGACCTTCATGAAGATACGAGGAAGAAAATCAACCAAGTGTAGATAAATTATGACAAAGTAGATAAGTCATCTCAACTGGACAAACTTAGTCATCTTTTTCTTTGTTCTATTCCTGTTACACACAAATGAGCAAAGAGGGGTAGTTGTAATACCCAATTTTGGTCAGACCTACCTTTTTTCTAAAGGCTCAAATATTTTTTATTTAAGCTGATTTTGAAGCATGAGGCATTAGTCGACTTCCAAAAAATATTAGACAATATCTAGGCATTTCCAAGTGAATATTCTTCTTTGAACATGATCATCTTTTAGTTAGGTTTCTAACGCATTTTAAAATGCCTCAATAGGACATCGAGAACTCAAGATATGTTTATTTTAGCGAACACAACGCGTGCAGAAAATTGAATACGGGTTAATATGGAAATTTTAATTTATTACGAATTTTCAATTATTTTATTGATTATTTGTAATTAAATTAAACTTTAGAATTTTCTTTATTTATTTAGGGTAATATATGATTTATTTTCTTTAATTTTTGTATCTAGCATTAATAAAAAGATACTATGTTTTTATGATTTTTTGGAGTCCTATAAATATGCACTCATATTATGTAAAAAGGGAGAGGGAAAAAAGAGATAAAATAGACAGAGAGAGAGCCACCAAAAAGTATTGTAATTCAAGAAACAATAGCAAAAAAGATAACATTTATTTCTAGGTAAATTTTATTTTTTTTAATATTTTTTCCTTATGTTTGTTTTGGTTAATTTCAGTCTTATTTTTGTTGAAAATCCCATCGAATTAGAGAACCAATGAATAAAGAAAAAACTTTCAATTAATCTTTATAGATCAAGCCTTTATTAAAGTTTCTCAATGAAACTTGATGATGGATTTTGAATGAAAAGTTTTTATTTTTTTATCTTCTTTTATTTATCCAAAATTTGAAAGAAATAAAAGGAATCAATATTTTTTTACTTAAAATTTTGTATTTGATTAAATGACCCGAGGATCCGATCTTAATTCTTATAAGATCTGTGCGTATTCATATGGGAATGAGATAATTATGAATGTATTCCTTATATTTTTTTTTCTTTCATATTTTTTTAATTTTTAATTTAATTTACCATTTATCTTTAGTTTCTATTTGTGATTCTTGTTTATTCTTAATATATATATTATTTAATTTTCCATTTTTTAACTGTCGCCACTTTCCTTTATTTGATTTTTTTTATTTTTCATTATTAATTATATTTGATCTATTTTTGGATTTTTTATAAATTCACTCTAACTTATTTTTGTTCCATTCTTTAGGTTAACATTCTAATTTTTTTTTATTTTAAGTTATTTTTTCTTTATATTTATGATACATTTATTTATACATTAAATATTTCTTATTTATTTATTCTTGCATGTCTTGTAAATTGTCCTTTTTATTTTAATTTCAGAATTAACATATCTGTTCATGTATATTTCTTATTGTTTCCTTTATTTTGGTATCAACCTTTTATTTATTTATATATTGAATAATACTTCCTTTATTGTGGTACCCTTGTAAATTAATCAAGTTTGATCTGGCTTTGTAATTTATTTATAATTTAAATTAAAAATAATATTATATATTAATATTTAATTAAAAATATTATTATTAAATATCATTTTGGAATAAGATGAACAAAATTAGATAAACTTTTGCATAAACCAAGCATCTTAAATAAATACCTCAACCTCCTGAGCAGTGTATATCTTTTTCCACGCATGGTAATCATTTTCGTTCTTCCAAATTCATTATCGATGCTTCTCCAAAGCTTTAGAAAAAAAAAAAACAAATGTCAATGAATAGTCATAAATTGTGAAGTTACTAAACCCATAAAAACAATTAAGAACATGTAAAGACGTTTGGTTGGATCATTAAATTAAACAATCTAGTATAAAGAATTCTCAAATTTGGACATCAAAATTTTATGTCAATCGATATCTTTTGGTATCAAATTGTCAAACAAACCCCAGGGCACTATGGCTAAACTCAACAAGTTATTCATTCTAATTGCTTTTCTCCCACTGATGACCATAACTTCTATTGTAATTACACCGGGATTAGAGTTTACAATCCCTCGAAATCCAGAATCAAATTTCTATAAGACCATAGAAGAATGCACCAAAAATATGAGTTTCGTATGTGGGAAAAATTTTGTGAATCAGATCTTATTTGATCATGATATTTCTAAGCAATGTTGCGTTGAACTTATTCATGAATTGGGAAGAAACTGTCACGACGGCTTAATCTGATTTTATTCTTCACAATTTAGATATTATGCTACCCACATTTCTATTAGAGGTCCTCAAGTATGGAATAGGTGTGTCACGAAAATTGCATCAAAGATATGATTATTTGACTTAATATTGTGCCCATTTATTTCTCAAATGAAATTAACCAAAATTTAATATTCTCTTCAATATTACAAATATTACACACGTTTAATCTTTTTCTTTTTTGAAAAATGGTTACTTTGTATTAAGATTCAAAGTACACCACTCCTAAGACCTCGTTAAAAAATCCCCTCTAAACCTAAGTGGAGAAAAAATAGTGAACCTAGGGGTGGAAAGAAGGTACAAACAAGAGCCCTATTATAACAAATCACAAGCCGAAAACCACGCTACTAATACAGTCCGAAAGTAAATTCAAATAATTAGCTACACACAGCCCCCAGATTGGACTACAAGAAATGACCAATACACATCCATGCATAGAACACACCCAGCTACGTTCTTCTAATTAACCTTTGATCAGTAACGCTAACACAGTAACCAATCAAAGATTACAGGATACAAAGCAACATGCAGAAGAATAGCAGCCACCAATGGGGAAACTCTCGCCAACAGTTGCATCAGAAATCATGAGAAACCACGATAAGCTACTAACAGGGAAAACATACAGGAAAACCAATACCCGAACAGCAACGCAACTCTGTCCCAAACAAGAGCCAAACTCAGATTGAGAAACCACTCCCACAACGACTGGAAACCGGAAGCTGGAGCAAGGAGCAGATAGACAGGATCTGCACTCCTACGAACCACCAAATAACAGAAATTAAATAATAAAAGAAGAGAATTGACAACTACGAACTGAACAATTAATCTCAGCAGACTCAACAACTTCCGATCACTAGGGATTGAGGGCAACATACAAAATCTTGAACGCTCTGAATCAACGATGGCCAGATCGACTTAGCCCAAACACCTATCTGAACCATGACTAAATAGAGCATCTGATCAGTCGTGAAAGAACTTCCTTGAAACCTGATTTTATTTCTACACAACCAAATATTTCAGATCAGACCGAAAATCCCGAGCTTCCAAAGATGACGAAATTTCCATTTAATTTTCTGGGTAACCCAAACCTGCAGCAAGTCCTTGACCTTGCAAGGAAACACAAATTTAATATTCCACACAGAACACCAGCGTTGCCATACCTTCCAGACACATTCGCAGTGACACAAAACATGATTTATAGTTTCGGGAACTCGATTGCAAAAAGAACAAAGAGAAAAATCAGAACTCGATTTCAAGATCATTTAATTTTAATTATACATCTATCTTTAAACTTTTTGATCAGGTTTATATAAAATCATAGAATAATGCATCAAAAAGATTAATATGGTTTGGAAGAAAGTGTTATGAATGTGATCTTATTGGATTACGATATTTCTAAGTAGTGTTGCGTTGAGCTTATTCATGGTTTGGGAAGAAACTGTCACAACTTAATCTGAATTTATTCTTCACAGTCTAAATATTATACTAGTCACATTTTTACTGGAGGTTCTCAAGTCTATAATAGGTGTGTCATGAAAATTGCATCTAGGATCTGATCAGTTGATTTAACAATGTGCCCATTTGTTTCTCAAATAGTTAACTAATATTGATTGAATAATAGATAAAGTTTAAAATTTTCTTAAGTGTTATAAATATTATACTCGTTTAATTTTTTTCTTATATCTTCAAATATCTAAATCACATACTACATAATTTCTATTTTATATCAGTAATTTTGGATGTGGAATAATTCCACGATGTGAATGCAATAACATAAATACAAATTAAGATAAACCACGTTTTTTTTGAAAAAAAGTTTTTGTATTCCATTATATGTAAATGAACAACAATACAAAACATCCCTAAAGCTTGACGTTAAAAAAAAGAGTTCACCAAGAGTTGTCAAAAGTTTGCACCATTCACATATAGTTTACATAGATACAATCAGATAGGCCAGCCTCATTAAACTGTACTTGAGGCGAAACCCCAAAAACAAACCATGACAATGAACCGAAAACCATTCACACTCACTCACCGGCACAGCATGCAGCAAACCAAAATCTGAACCTTGATTTCACCCACAAAACAATGCAGCCAACATGGCATCGGCAGAAAGTAGCTCCAAAGTGATAGCACTAAGGAGGAAACAACCATCAAAGGCAAAAATCAACAACAATCAGCATCAAAGGCCAATGAACGCTGCACCAGATTCAAGCACAAGGAAATACAAGCATCGAAGACCATGGCAAAACGAGAGCTAAGATAAAGCCAACATCACTCCCTTGCAACATCAACGAAAACTCCGAAATGGATTTACCCCGATCCACAAAACACTAGACTTATAACAGTACATCACACAATAGAATCCTCAACAATCACATTAGTTGTACAAGTTTAATTTCCTACAATCAACACAAACAGTGAGTACATGCACCTTGCCATAAGCACAATACATATGAATGATGCACCAGACTCATTGCTACCACAAAATCTTTTAAATCCAATTTAGTTCAAAGTTGAAAAAACTCTTGAAAATCCATTCACATATGGAAACAATTTGGACCATTTGCTATTACTCTAGTGACCAATTCTTAAGCACGACATCTCAAATATATGGTTCTCACAGCCTGGTTTCTTGTTGAATAGAACCCCATTCCTAAAAATCCAAATACTCCACACAATCCCAAAGAAAAACTAACTTCCAAGCATGCTTAAATGGTCGTTTGATTGGTTGTTCGTCCCAAGACACTAGAAAACCCTTTACATTTCCAGGGCAGATAAATTTTACCTTCCATATTGAGCAACACTTCTGCCATAGTCTCCAAGAAAAATTGCATTGGTATAACAAATGGTATGTGGATTCGTGTTGTTCATGGCATAACACACAAAGGCATGATTCTAAATTTGAGACACATCTCTTGGATACATTTAGTAATGTTGGCACTCTATTTAGAACTGCTTTCGAAACAAATGCCTCCATCTTGGGTGAAACCAAATTTACCCATACCAACTTCCATACATCTTTAATTTTTCTTTCACATGCAACGTTTTCACAGTAGATTTTTGGCTTATAAAAACCATGAGGTGAATCGTTTCATGTCAATAGATCAACCTCACACACTCCCTTTATTGCATTATTGAAGGTTTCTAAAAACGCATCTCAAATGTTTAGTTCCCCGTCAAAAAGTGTTCTCCTAGTCGATATATCCCAGTGCCATAAACAATTTATTTTCCTGCCGAATTCACATACTTTTACTGATTTTTTAATAGTGACAACAAATATGCAAGGGAAAACTAATTTCATAGATGGAACGTCTGTCCAATAGTCCTCCCAGAACTCCATTTTCTTTCCATCTCCCACAACACACCTTAAATCTTTCGAGTAACTATCATCCACTGAATTTAGAGGTAAAGTGATGTTTTTCCACACCCACGATTTTCTATTATATTGTCTAAGCCCCAGAATAAGGGGAAAATGTCGTATCTGTATTTGTCATCAATAAATTTTCTCCATAGGCAGCTCGTTTCAGTTCCATACCTCCAAATCCACTTGTTTAATAAGGATCGATTTCTTACTTTCATGTCAAAGAAACCAAGACCACCGCATGATCTTGGGCTGCAAATTGACTCCCATCTCACCTAGTGAATCGATCTCCCAGAACTTGAACCCCACGAAAAATTTGCAATTTATTTATTCAAGTCTGAGGCCACTAATGTCCGAAGCTAAAAAAGAGATAAAAAGTACATTGGCATGTTAGATAAAACAGATTTTATAAGGGTGATACGCCCTCTGAATGAGACTAATTTCCCTTTTCATCCCTTAAGCCTCGACCGAACTTTCTCCACCATAGGCTTCCACATCTCCGAAGAGTTCCTATTTTGTTCTAGCGGTAGCCCCAAATAAGTAGTCAGAAAATGATCCCAATCACACTTCACTTGATCAACCCACTCTCCCAATGTACCCTTATCCATGCAGAACCCATACAACTTGGATTTTGTCATGTTGAGTTTTAGACCTGATACAACTTCAAATAATCTTAAGATTCTCTTTATGTCTTTTAATGAGTTGAGGATGTCATCCGAAAAAAATATTAGGTCATCCGAAAACTGTAAGTGTGATATCCGAATGTCTGAAAAGCCCAATGAAACACCACTAAACGCACCACTGGCAATTGCTTTTGTGAACATGTTTCTTAGGGCCTCCCCTACTAGATTAAAAAGAAAGGGAGATAAAGGGCACCCCTGTCTCAAGCCTCTCTTAGTGTTAAAGCTCTCGGAAGATGAGCCATTCACCAGAGAAGAGATTGATGATGTCGAAACACACATGATAATTCATCGCCTCCATCTTCTACCGAACCTCATTAATTACATGTGTCGTAACCGTCTTTCGGTTAGGCCCCGGAATTGGGATTCGACTTGAAAATGTGGATTGGAGTCGCCACCGACCATTTTAAAACGAATTTAGGTGGGTCAGACACCATCTTACCTGATCTGCATTTTTACCATAAATGTGTCGGGTTCGAGAGTCGGTTACGGTCAAGGAAGGATTAGCACCCTTGAACCACCCTTTCGGTACCAATTAATTTGCTGGTTGTCTTAGTTGCAAAAATTTGAAATTTAAATTAAACTTTAACAGATCCGATTTAAATTACTTACAATTGATTGATTTGAATACCCTTAAAAGATAAAAACGTTAGATTCGTAGCGGAGTATAAAATCAAATTAGGATAGCAAGTGTGCAAACGTGAGAATAATAAATAAAACAATAAAAATGGAAAATAATAAAACACGTAAAAAATAATAAAAATAAACAAAATGAATAAAATGTTAAAAAAACACACATATAAAGGGAAAAATTAATGGAGTAAAAAAATAAAAAAGGTAAAAGAAATTAAAAAGGAATAAAAATAACGTGTACATATAAAGTAGTATTTACTAAAACAAATAAAAATAATAAATATATAATACTAAGTGAAACAAATAAAAAATAAAGATATATATGATATTAAGAAAAAAAATAAAGTAAAAATATAATATATATAAATAAATAAAAACAAAAATAGAATATTAAGAAAAATATATATATAAAAACGTGTAAAATATAATATTAAGAAAAATATATATACATAGTAAATGGAGAAAAATTAATACATCTATATATATAATGATATATGATATATATAATAAATATAATATAAATAAAAAAGGAATATAGTAAATAAATAAAAAAGTATAATTAAAAATATATATATATGGAACGAAATTAATATAAAAGTAAAATTAAAGGGTAAATTTCAAGGTAAATTAAAGATTAAGATTGACTTAGGGGAAATATTAAATACTTAAAAAATGAACATGCCTTGAGAGTAGATCTAGGTTCGAAATTTCAAAACCCTACCCCTTTTTGGTCATCGGCGTAACCCACGCTTTGGGTTATTCAAACCAAATCTCAAGAAAAATAACATGCACATGCGAGAAATAAACGAATCAATGTAAAAAAAGATTATACCTTTTATTTCCTTTTCGAATCATTTACAATAGATTTACCTTTTTATTTTTTTGTGCTTTCCTCTGTATCTTGTATGTAAATCTCATGTTACAAATGGGGAGGATTACATGTATTTATAGTGAAAAAAAAACTAACTATTTTTAGAATCCTATTAACAATAGAATTCTAATGCAACTAGACTCCTTGCTTGGTTGTTGCACGTTTGTTGTTGTGGTTGTTGCTTTAAAAGATATGGTGGTGGAAGAGTTCTCTTAGGAGATGAACTCTTGCTAGTTCTATCTTTTAAGAAAATGGGTGTCTACAGGTGCCCCTCTTTGTCCTTTTTCATGGAACAAAAAATAGGACAAAGATAAAAAGACACAAATTTTCATTCAGTGGAGTTGAAGAATATCTCCCTGTCGAATTGAGTTACGAATGGCTCCTCCGTCGCGAAGTCGAGTCCATCTTGAAATGATTTGAATCAGAATGTGGCTTCTCGTTGTAGTCCACTTTGGTCTTCTTCTCGGTTTAAAGACCTTGGCTAAAAATTCGACTGGAAAGTAATCCCTTGACTCCACATTGTGCTTGATATACTCTCGAGCTGAATGAAAATGAACTCGAAAAGTCTTCGCTGACAGATAGCTTTTCTCGACTTAAGTTATGCTGATGGAAAAAAGGCTTCTTGCTACTAAGACACGTCTAACCCAGATCTTCTTCTCGGCTTGAAAACCTCGATTACAACCGGACAATAGTGTGATTGAGGTGTTATCGAGCTGAACAGAATCTAACTCGATAATTTTATTGACAGATAGCCCTTCTTGCCTTGAGCTATGTTGTAAATGATGTTCCCTGGAGCCGAGCGTAGTCGAACTCGAAGGTCTTTGTTGACCGATAACCCTTATTTGAGTTGGATATCCTTCGTCATGAAGTTGAAATCCAATCTAGAGATGGATGTTGCTTGTGTGCACGATTCTCTTCGTCGTGAAGTTGAAACTGTGAATGGCACCTTCGTCGTGAAGTTGAGCCTGGTAATTGGATATCCTTCATCGTGAAGTTGAAATCCAAGTAGGTAGTATTGTTCCAAGTCCAATATCCTCTATCGTGAAGTTGAAATTAGCTATGGAAATTGTTTGTTGACAGTCAGCCGCCCCTTCACTGTGAAGTTGAGCTTGTGCTATCTCGAGTCTAATATCCTTCATTGTGAAATTGAAATTGACCCTAAAATTAAGAAGTTGTTTGTTGACAGTCAGCCGCCCCTTCGCTGTGAAGTTGAGCTTGTGCTGTCTTGAGTCCAATATCCTTCGCTGTGAAGTTGAAATTGGCTCTGAAATTGGGAAGTTGTTTGTTGACAACCAACCGTCCCTTCATTGTGAAGTTGAACTTGTGTTGTCTCGAATCCAATATCCTTCGCTGTGAAGTTGAAATTGGTTCTGAAACTGGGAAATTGTTTGTTGACAACCAGCCGTCCTTTCGTTGTGAAGTTGAACTTGTGTTGTCTCGAGTGGCACGATATCTTTCGTCGTGGAATTGAAATCGTGGATGGCCCCTTCGTCGTGAAGTTGAGCTTTGACTTGAATATCCTTCGTCGTGAAGTTGAAATCCAAGTATTGTATGTTACGAGTGGACACGATTCCCTTCGCCGTGAAGTTGAAACTGTGGATTCCCCCATTTATTGTGAAGTTTGGCTTCGAGTTAGATATCCTTCGTCGTGAAGTTGAAATCTACTCTCGAGCCAGTCGTGTCGCTTTGAGTTCAATATCCTTCATCATGAAATTGAAATTGACTCTAACTAAAACCTGAAAAAGTTATGCATATATGTGATGTTATAAACATATATTATCTTGGGGCTCTGAAGAGAAATTTCGATCTCTAGTTGCCTATCTGGAATCTTGATTCTTGAATCTTCAAGTTCTGATTCCTGATCTTGAATTCTTCAAATATTCAAATCTGATGTGCACATTCTATTTTTGATTTGATAAATGCTTCTCGACCATCTCAAGTATGTGTCTGAGCTGAGTATAACGGTTCAGATGATGCTTCAAGAGAAGTTGTCTCGAAAGAGATAAAATTCATTTCAAGAGAAACGATCTCAAAGATATCTGTTGTTTCATGAAAATGGTCTCAAGGGAAACAAAATTTTGTTTTAAGGGAAATAAATTTAAAGATTTTGTGTTTCAAGAGAAACTGTCTAAAGGGAGACAAAATTTGTTTTAGGGGAAATAAATTCAAAGATTTTGTTTCAAGGGAAACTGTCTCAAGAGAGACGAAATTTGTTTCAAGAGAAACTGTCTCAAGAGAGACAAAACTTAGTTCCAAAAGAAATTGTCTTAAGGGAGACAAAATTTGTTTCAAATAAAACATATTCAAATATTTTGTTTCAAGGGAAACTGTCTCAAGAGAGACAAAATTTGTTTCAAGAGAAACTGTCTCAAGAGAGACAAAATTTATTTCAAGGGAAATGTTTTCAATGTTTATGTTTCAAGAGAAACTGTCTCAAGGGAGACAAAATTTTGTTACAAGGGAAACTATCTCAAGAGAGACAAAATTCGTTTCAAGGGAAATGTTTTCAATGTTTATGTTTCAAGAGAAACTGTCTCAAGGGAGACAATATTTTGTTTTAAGGGAAACTATCTCAAGCGAGATAAAATCTTCTTTTTAAAAACAATCTTGAGTGAAATGAAATGCCTTCTTTCGAGTGAGACAAAGTCTATTTTAAGAAAAGCAATCTCAAGTGAGATAATCATCTGTATTAAATGAGGTTGTCTCAAGCGAGACAAAATTTATATTGGAAATGTTGAATCTGAAGATGAATGTCGATCTTTCAATCTGTCAAGTTGGTTGAAGTGTGACTTATTGCTGCTGAGTTAAGCAACCACCATCGATTTTTACAAACTCTTTTGAATCAAGTATCTTTCGCCTTAAAGTTGAAACTTGACTCTAAAGCTGCAAAACTTATGTATGTGAAAAAATGATAAATATGATGCTCTAAAATGTATGCATAATGAATGAGTTCTTGTTTTTTTCCTTGGACAGAATCTCATTTTTTGCCTGCTGGTTCCTACATGCGGAGGAAAAGCCTTCGGAAGATCTGATCATTCGCATCAGGATTTTGAATCCCCGGAGATGCCCTAATATTCAATTTTGAATCTCCAAAAATGCCCCAACATTAAAAGTGCCCATATTGTTCCACATGTCATTTATCAAGATTCACTCTAGAGAGATTGTCTTGTTTGAAAAAATATTTCTCTTTTATTTTCAAAGTTCTGAAAATATCAATTAAAAGAGTTTCGAAAAATGTTTAATCAGAAGTTTTAAAAATATTGCCCCTTTCATGGTTTTACAATTGAGACGAATCATAAAACTAGAGTTCATTGGATATCAAAGGATTAAAAGTCTCAGGTTATTGTGTTTGGTCAAAGGTTTGGCATTTTTTTGTTTATTTGATGCTCAAAGGTTTGATGGGGTACCTTGTATGCTCCTCTATTGGAAGTGTTCTCCGACTTCCAACTTTCATGGTCATGCTCGGATTGTGCGATCGCCTCAGCTGCCCAATTTTCGTATTCGAGCCACCTTTTCAGGTTTTTAACTTGAATCCTCCTTTGGTTTCAAGACGTCATTCTTAATTTACGTCTTGAACCCCCTTTGTTATTTTTCTCTATCATACATTAATTACACTGTTTTTTTTTTTGCAAACAAAGAT